TGCATTAGGAATAATTATAATGTTATGTCTTATGAATGTATAATCATTGTTTTGCTAGAATCAAAAATCATTACTTGTAGGATAATTTTTTCTTTTTAAGTTACTTTAAAAAAATAAAGGAGTCCTTCTGTTCTTTCTCATCTAACATCTATGATCTGTAACAAATCTGAAGACCTACCAGATGAAGCGATTATGGCCAGAACCTGCTAAAAACATCAGAAGCTAGAATTTCTGGATCATCTGCCCAGCCCTCTCCCTGCCTCTCCCCATCCACTGCTCTGCCGGGAGCATGGCCTCTACCAGTTGGGGCTTCACTGACTGCATAGAAACTGAATCCTAGTCTCCCTGGTCATCCTTGAAAACTCACATAGGTGGTTTTCCAAAAGAGAAGAAGTTGATCGCCATATGCTCTGTGTGGTGGGCAAAGTTTCAGTGAACAGACACGGAAGAACCTACACGGAAGAAATGAAAGTTGAGTGCTCAATTTCATTAACGGGCAAAAATTCAACTGTTCACAGGTTGACAAAAGTTTTAAAATGTGTACTTTGTTTCAGGTATTTTAGGGGCAGGCAGGGCTTTTGGCCTTCTGATGGGGAGAGGGAGACAGGGAGGTGAATGTAGGGGTGCGGCTGTATCTCACCTGCAGGGCTCCCCATGGTGGAACTGCCCCAACAGCGGGGCAGCTGACCCCGGCCTGGGCCCCAGGCCCACCGGCACCTCGGCTGGGCAGATTTGAGGCCACAGGCTCATTATAGATGAGTACGGTTAGAGACCTTGTGCAATATCTGAAGAAAGCAGGCTTCAGACCCCCTGGACTTAAACTAGCTATGTTTTAAACGGCAAAGCAGATGGGCACAGAGAGTCGTCCCAGCACATCCCACAGTATTAAGGGAGGGGAACATCTTCCCACAGTGCGATACTGTGAAGGGGCAGGCAGTCAGAGAGCAGGCCTTCCGTCAGCTATAGAACTGATAAGACTCTGTCACTTCTGTAACCCTCAGGTCTGCGTGTGTGTGGTCTGAAAACTCAAACCAAAGAAAGCGTGTGTTTTGGGGGGGATGCAGGTAGAGCCAAAATAGCAGCTGTGTCCAGATTTGTTTTTAAGTCTGCCAAATGCATGTGGAGTAACAGAATCAAACATTCTTCTCAAGCAGAAAGAATTATTTTGCTTCCAAACACCAATCACGTAAAAGTGGTCTCAAAAATGATTAGAAATGCAGCGTCGTTATTCTTTCTAATCACGTACAAAATTTCAAGTACTGTCTGTAAAACACTCGCAGGCAATCAAACCTTGAGATTCCTCCTGTGATGGTAGCAGTCTTGTTGGGCGATGTTCGCCCTAGAACAGCTGCTGAGATCCTAGCAGGAAAAAGAGCCACATGATTCTTCAGCTCATAATCCAGTTATTTTCCCGAGGTTACGTTTGGGCATCACAGTGGTGCAAACAGCAAGGCAAGTAGCTCTGGGTCAACAGCCAGAAAATGGGGCTCTCCAACCTCACCAGGGGGAGGGAATGAGCAGACGGTGTGTTTGGACTTTCTCTCGCCCAGCGCACCCTTATACACACAGACACCCACCATGCCTTCCAGACTTGCCCTTCCGTGGCTTCCTGGTGCCCACCGCAGGAGCAGAAGGGGCAGGAAGAGAAGCCCAAAGCTGAGCCAGGCCTCCCCTAGCTGCTGGCTTCCCAGGCCTGGCATCGATTTTGCTCTCTGATGAGCCCTGACAACCATGTGGGTGACCCGGAAGAGATTCCCGTGACCTGTGCCTGTTCTTCATGCTCTACCCATGCTGCCAAGAAGCCGGTGCCTTCCTCACTCTGCTCCCTTAGCAACACCATCAAGGCCCTTCCCACTCCTTAATGGATACGAATATACCAAGTTTTCTAAATCTTTTCTCCCCAAGCAAATCTCCAAGAGGGCAGGAAACATCTCTTTCTTGCTTGCCCTTCATTATCGCTAGGACAGTGCTAAGCAAATAGCAGTCTCTCAGAAACAAACTGTGTGAGGAGTCTCTCCGGTGTAAGTTTTGGTCAGTTGTACAGGATGGATAAGGACAAAAGAAAACAAACATCACAAGTGACAATTTATAAGGCAAAGTCAGCCTCTCCTAAGAAATCCTATTAAACTAAAGCCTTGTTTTCACTATTGCCCCGGATATGTGAGCATGGGGCTCTGGGATAGTCCTGTTCTTTCCTCAAGCTTTGTGGCTACACCGACTGTGAATAAAAAGTAAAATCTGAATCTTAATGTCATTGCTTTTCAGGGCAAACCTTGCAGTTCACCTCCACTAACTGACTAAAACCAGCTGTGGTCCCTCCACATCCTCTGCGGATTTGTTCTTGGTAGGAAGTACTGAAAAGCCCACAAAATAAAATACTCGCCGATCTGAAAAGAGAGATTGCCCTTTATGATTCGCACCTACAGCAAAGAAGTTCTGTAAATCTAAATTCTCACTCCTTTGGAGGGGGAGTGTCATGAGTCAATGGATTATTTTCCTTTCTGAGCTTTAAGGGGTGGGGTAGTTGGAATTTTCACTTTCTTTCCCCCTGAATATTTTGATTTTTAAAATAACTCAGTGCCAGTATCTACATGAGTCAAACGGAATAGGGCATGGAGGGCGGAGGAGGGAATTTGGGGCTGGCCAGCGTGAGGGGGTGTGCACGAGCTTCTCTCTTCCTACCTTTGCAAAAGATGGACCCTCTATCTGTGGGGCACAGCTTCTGGTCCTGCATTCTCCCAGGAAAAGGCGTCCACCCTGACAGCTAGCAAAGGTCACTTCTCTCACCGCTAAGCCTACAGTCTGGTTCCTCCTTTGTGAGTGCTTTGCTGACCTGATGGCCTTCCGCAGAAGATTCTGACTGTTTCTGGCACAACTCAATATTGCTGCCCTAGCACCTTCACCAAGACAGCCTTGGTCACATCCTGCACTGTGTGTAAAGAAAGCATCACGGTTCTCTCTCCTCTACCAACATTTCCTCCCCTTGAAAGAGCAAGTTAGCAAGAGGTGCAGAGGAGATGGCTCCTTTCTACCCGGGACACTGGGACAAGAGCCCCAATTAGGGCGACAGACAAGACTGGCAACAGCTTCGTTTTCACGATCTTCTCTCAGTGGCCAATCCTTGGGCTAAAAAGAAGCCCCAACATCAGACGCGCACCCTCACCCGGCCACCGACCCGCCCCGGGGGGCTCAGGGTCCGCTCCCCAGCCCAGACCGGAAGAAGCCCGGTGGCGGAAGGTGGGCCTGTCACCAACCGAGGCTTTCCACCGCTGGCGTGGATTAAGTAACACCCGAAAAATCAGCATTTGCACACATGCCAGGGGCTGATTACGGGGCCTTTCAGCCGGGGCAGCCGACGCGATTTCAGAGCAATTTCTCCGATTACTCAGCCCAGGACCGCCCGGGGCGCGGCTCCAACGACACTCCCGGGCCCGCGGAGCCCCCTACGCAGCCACCTCGCGGCCCCGGCCCCCCGCTCGCGGGCCTCGGCAGGAGCCCGCGACAGGCCAAACCGAGACCGCCACCCACCGGCACCGCGTCCGCCGGCGCTTCAAGCTCCAGCGATCGGGTCCCTTTCTGCGGCCCCAGCCCTGGCATGGAGACCTGTGCCTCCCCGGGGTGCAGCGAACCGGCTCCCTGCGGCCCCGAAACGGCCAGGGGGCCCCTGAGGCCTCCATCCGTCCTCAGTCTGCGAACTCGCCGCTCAGAGGCCCATCCGCCCCGGGCTCGCGCCGCTGCCCTGCGCTTTCGTGACCTGTGGCTCGCGGAGCTGGGCCCCCAGCTACGAATCGCGGAGCTGAGAAAAGGGACGCAACTGCGTCTGCGGGGCGGAGGAAGGAGCTGCGGGGGCCGCTCAGGGTCAGCCTCGCCCACCCCACGGGAGCCAGAACGCCAGGGGGCTGTGCGCCTGCCGCCCGACCGCGCCCTGGCCGCTCGGCCACCTCGCCTGACCCGGGCGCCTGCGGCTCTGGCCATCTCCGGAGACCAACTGGTTTTCAAATGGTTATGATAAACCTCTATCTTAACTTCCTTTATGGGACCGACCTCGAGGCTGTGTGAATGTCTCCTGACAGACGAAATGGACGGTTATTAGCAGTACAAAGCCCGTCGGACCGTAGCGTGAGTTCAAGGGAACATTTCGGTGTCGCACCGAAATTGCTGCGCATGTAAACCAATTTCTCCGGCAGAAGGGTAAACACAGACTCGTTTGAACCGCGGGATGGAAACAGATGGCATATCGCAAACAGTTCCCCGAAATACAACAGACTTCTGGGCCAATTACACGTGGTTAGCTCTGAATGGCAGAGGAAATAGTTTTCTTTGCTGCTAAATGTCACAGAAGTCACCTAAAGGCACAGAAGGAGGCTGCTTTGTTTTTGCGAAACTTGCTAAAATCAATCTGAGCTGGAGCCACTTGTAAAAGGCAGACCCACGTCCCGCTCCCCGCCGCCGGTTTCAGGCCTTTGTGAAAGACAGAACCGGGAACTGGGGAGCCGGGCGCCCAGCTTCCAAGGCTGAACCCGCCGGTGCAGACGACGGGGCGAGAGAGAGGAGACGAGCGCGCTGCCAGCTCCGGTCCCCGCCCCCGCCCCGCGCCGGCCGAGCAGGGAACCGGCCAACCAGGCTGCCCAGCGTCCCGCCGACGAGCTCCCGTGCGCGAACAGCATGGAGCCCGGGCACGCGGGACGGGACGCCCGGCCGAGGTCCTCGAGAGCCAGCCCTAGCGCCCACGAGAGAGGCCGCAGGCCCGTGGGCGGGGCCCGACCCGGAGCGAGGCCCGCGGCCAGCACTGCCCTCCGGGCCGCCCGGCGCCGCCGGCCGGGTGCGGGGTGGGGGGTGCGGGGTGCGGGGCGCGGGCCCGCAGGGAGGCCGGGCCGGACCTGCGCCCAGGGACTGAATCTCCGCGGCGGGAGGCCTCGGATCGTCGGGCCCAGGCCGGGCGGGGCACCGGCTCCGAGCTGCGGCCGGGGGCGGCGCAGAGCCCGGGTCACCGCGTCCCCGGCTCCGGAAGGCGCGCGGGCGGGCGCGGGGCCGGAGGGAGCGCGCGCTCGGAGCCGCGTGCAGGGTTCAGCCGTGTTTCGGTTGCCCTCTGACCTGACCCTGGGCGCACAAAGGCCTCCCGGGTGCGCCGCCATGGCCCAGCCTTCAGTCGCTGCCAAATTAATGAGCCCACGTCAGGTTGGGTTTACAGCTCGGCCGGGAAGCAGCCGAGTGGAAAATGAGCCCGGGGCGGCCGCGGGGCCGGGGAAGTCGAGGCCGCGCCGCGGCGCCCTCCGCTCCCGCTCTCGCTCTCCCTCCTGCCGCCTCCCGAGGGGGCGGGCCTGCCGGGGAACCGGCTGGTCTGCGAGCAACGGGTCTGCCCTGCTTCCCGACGCCGTCGCAGACCCCGCAGGTAACATCTCCGCAGCACAGGCCAGGCGCGCTTGACGCGGGTCGTGGGGTTGTGGCCTGGCGACCCTTCAGTGTCTCTGCGGCGCCCTGGGCTGCCGGGTTTGGGGGTCCAAGTTCGCGTTCCCGGGAATCGGTTCCTCCTGACCACGGGGACCCGGGTGGCCCCAACGAGTATGAGTATCCGCCCGAGGGAGGGAGGGAGGGAGGGGAGAATGGTTCACCCCTTCCAGGAGCAAGGGTCTGCAAGGCCGGTTCCCAGAGGCGGCATTTTCAGTCTGCTGCGCGGTGCCCGGGTTTGAAAGCCAAAATAAGTTGGAAACGGATTTGTCGTTTGTCTTAAATAGAAGTCGATCTGCTGGTTCATCCTGAAGTCTGGAAGACTGGCTCCCTGTGCTGACGGCTCTGCTGTCCTATAGCTCTTTAAACACTGTGGGGAATTCCATTCAAGAAAAATGACCAGACTTGAAGCTGATAAAGCGTAAGACATTGATTTATCTTATTCCTTCCAGGTTTTTCAAACATAGTATAAGAAAGCACTTTCATTTAAAAACACCCAAAAGGTCAGAAGAGCAATGCTCTGAAGAAGCCCTCTTCCCCTGCAGCTTTGTCTGCTGGCGAGAAGCGAGAAGGTTAAGCACTGCGAGCAACTGGCATAACTGCTGCCTCCTGCACCTTCCTCACCCCGGCTTCAAGGAGCACTGCCTTTCAGCAGTGGGGGGCCCTGCCACAGACCCCTTTTCTTCTAGTACCCTGAGCAAGGGCAGGACTAGGTCACCGCTCATAACCCCCCACACTTACCCATCAGATGCCTGGTCTAGATTCCACACACACCCCTCCTGCATCCTGGGGGCGCTTCTAACCCTTGCAGCCCCGCTGCCTTGTCTGAGTCCACACCCTCCTCTGGAATCTCAGTGTACTTAGAAGGTCAAGTTGCCTTTATGATGTCGAATGGTCACTCCCTTTAAGGTGTTTAGTATCTCCAAGAGTGCACACAAGTAAACTATGATGCACTATAATTAGCTTTTTAGGTAAACTATCCCCTCAACTAAAATTTTAATCCCTGGGGGGGCAATGACCAGGACCAACTGTCTGCATTGTGCCACAGTGCAGTGCCAGATCAAGAAACGTTACCTACGTTGATTCCACCCCTAATTAGAACTAATATAGTCTCTTCTATAATGCTAAGAACTAGAGTGGTGGCAGTCGGTGGGGGGACCAACTCTTTCCTCATCATTCATTCCTGCTTCATTCTAAATTCTGTCAATAGACTTGTGTATCTTCTGAACCCAAACTGAGATAGTACCATTGAAGGAACTGAAATTTTGATTGGAGGAGGAGAAAGGGAGTGGGGAAAAGGAGAAGAAACTTAGGGAGGCAGAGGATTTTGAGAAATAATAGGATGGGTATCAGTACAAAGTGAAGGTAGTGAAGGAAACAGGAGGTGCCAAGGAATTAGGGAGCAAGAACACCACCCAAAGGTGGGCCAGAGAGAGAGAAAGGAGGTAGGCTGAGGGCAAGTTCACCTACTAAGAGGCAGCATGGTATTGTGGCTAAGAGCTCAGGTTCAGCACTCTCTGGCTGTATGTCCCAGGACAGGCTAAATGACCCTATGATCTTCAGTTTCCTCACCTGTGAAGTGAGGATAGTAATAATACTTATGCCACCAAGGTATGAGGGTTAAATAAAATAAAATGTACTAAATAAACATTAGCGATGACTGCTCTTAATTTCAGCCAGGGCGCCATGTCATAATGTGAGGCCTTTGGCATGCATCTCTGTTCTCATATTACAGTCTACCTTATTGGTAGATAGTGATGTGGGGAAAAGAGCTTTCTTCTCTTAAATATGAGAAAGTGACAAAGTATCAAAAGATACTTTAAGGAAAACTTTCTAACAAAAGACAAAAACCAAAATGGAAAAATAAGTAACTGGGAGGAATTAGAGAAAATTTTAAAGAAACACACATACACACACAAATAAGTCTTCCAAGTAAAATCTTTGGTGAGATGAGGAAAGGTATTACATCCATGGAATTAGAAAAGGATATTCTAAAAAAGAAACATTGAGAACAAGAAAGAGATTTTGGAAATTAAAAATTTTAAATATGGCAGAAATAAATTCAGTAAGAGAGTCAAGACAAAGTTGAAGAAATCTTTCAGAAAAGAACCAAAAGACAAAGAGATGGAAAATAGGAGAAAAAAAAGGATAAGAAAATGAGAAGAGAATACAGGAAATCCAACACTCAAACTGAATTCCAGGAAGAAAGTACAGAGATAATACAGGGGAAATTTTTTTCAAAGAAACAGTACAAGAAAATTTCCCAGAACTTACCGGGATGGTTCTCAGACCAGAAGGGCTGATTGGGTGCCTAACACAAAGAATAAGAAAAGACTTATACCAAGGACATAATCATGAAATTTCAGAAACTCACAAATACATAGAAACTCCAAAACCCTTCCAGAAAGAAAAACAGGTCCCATACCAAAACCCAGGAACCAGAATGGCATTGAACTTCTCAAAAATAACACTAGAAAAAGGAAATAGAGTAATGCCTTTATAATGCAAAGGAAAAATAATTTACAGTCTAGAATTCTATATCCAGCTAAACTGCTTGTCAAATGTGCAGATAGAATAAAGACATTTTCAGACATGCAAATTCAAAATTTTATCTCCAGGTACCCTGCAACAGACACTTCTGACCCACCCAACAGCCATCATAATATTTCCTTCATATTATTTTTTTAAGGCATCACATAGCCACGTGCTTCTAGGAAGCCAAGCCTTTTCCCAGCCCCAAGGAGTAGCCCTGATTAATCTAAGCCAACAAGTTATTGGCAAGCCCTACCCCTTGCCAATGATTGGCTTAGAAATGGGCATGGAACACAACTCAGATCAATTAAATCTAAGGAAAAGTCTTCAAGGGGTATAGGAGGATTTTCTTCACCGCAAAAAGGGGCATAAGGAAAGGACTTGTTCTGTCAGCCAGCCTTTGTATGAGGCTGTGTGAGGACATGATGATCCAAGTTGCAGCAGTTATCTCATCAAGGAGAAAATCCAAACATCAAGGATGGCAGAGAAGAAAGATGAAAAGAACTCGGGTACTTGATGATGTCACTGCATTCATCACACCTGAACTAGCCAATATCCAGACTTCTTGTTATGCGAGTGCCAGACTGCAAACTCTATGCACTTGTGCTCCTTTCTCAAGCTGAACTGTATGGTGAAAGCAATAATAATTAATAAAAATACCTACTGTTGATTGAGTATTGCCCTATGGTCTTTTGATTAATGGCTACAATAAGTCTGTGAAATGAGCGTATTGTGTCCTTTTTGCACATGAGGAGATATAGGCTCAAAGAAGTAGGTGAATGAGCCAGGTTTGTACCCATCCCTCTCTGACTCTAAGGTCTGGAGATTTAACTCTGATTATTTTCTTAGGGTTTGTCAGATGATGCTCAGACAGATGTGAACGGGGCTTGGGAAAGTGTTTGGAAACAGAATATGCCAAGTTCAAACATGCATTTAATAACCACTTTTAATTCACCTAGTTATTTGTCAACGTAGTTCAGGTTTGTGTTAACCAACTGCCAAGGGAGTCCCCAATGACCCTCACTTCCTGGTTTTCACACTTTTGTGTAGTCCATTCCCATAACGAATAGGGCTGACCTGTGTAATCAATACGATATCATGACAATGGGTAATTTCCAAGGCTAGGTCATAAAAGCCATCATGGCTTCTGCCTGGCTTTCTCTTAGGTCACTCACTCTGGGGGAAGCCACCTGCCATGTCACGCACACTAAAGAAGCCCTATGGAGAGGCCCACGTGTCAAGAAACTGAAACCTCCCGCCAAAACCCATGTGAGTGAGCCTCTTGGAAGTGGATCCTCCAGCCCCAGTCAAGCTTTCAGATGCCTGCAAGCCTTCATGGAAGGCCGTGAGCCAGGACCACCGAGCCGAGTCACTCCTGAATTCTTGACTCCCAGAAACTTGGAGATACTAAAGGTTTACTGTTCTAAACTGCTCAGTTTTGGGGTGATTTAGTACAGAGCAACAGATAAATTAGTACACGGGGTAACTGAACAAACCTCCTCTTAAGTTAAACGCAGAGAAGGACCTGATATTTGTTTCTCATTTTGTGTTTTCTGAAGAAGACATATCTGGTCCTCACTGTGACTCTGAAGGGAACGGGGAAACAGCCATTTCAGAAACCTGATCATCAGACAGACTCGCTCAAGGCACTCAAGTTAACCAGGGACAAAATGGACAGAAAAGCATTCGGGGTCTTTTTCGCCAAGCCTTTCCAGTATCCCTATTTAGAAGTTAGCTTAGACAGAAAGACCCTAAGAATCAATACAAAAAAAAGCAAAACTGAAAACTATCCCCAAAGAGTCTCAAGAGGCAGGCGGCGTCACCTAACACTGCTGCTGCTCCCACCTCACCGCCCCTCAGGTCTCAGAGCACACGAGAGTTTGTGACCTCGGATCTAGCCCACAACTGTAGACGGTCAGCTTTGAGAACATTCACACATTCTGAACAGTGAAACAGTTCATGGTCATGGTGTTTATAGCCTGGGTTTAAATAGGAAACTAATAAAGATACAATCTCCATTTGAGAAGGTGCTCAAACCCCAGTTAATGGAAAGTTTCCTGTGGCTCAGTGAGTTCTCTGAGTCCGTCATGGGGCTACTGGGCCCAGCCTCAAAAAACACACCCGGGGGGAGTGAAAGCTAACAGAGCGAATGTGTGTCTGTAGAAGTAATGTTGAGGTGGTAAAGTGCTACTTTGGACAATAACGAGTGAGGGAGTGAGTGGCTGGCTGAGTCTGGCCTTCGTCGGGCATACGCCCTGGTTTGGGTTTCCTGGTTACTTTGAGAAGGCAGGCAGGGTCTCTGCGGCCAAAACTGCTCTGACGGAAACCTCAGTTGATGACCTTGGCTTGAGTTGGGGCAAACCCTTGCTAGTGAAGTCTTCTCTCTGCTCCAGAGGCAGTAAAGTTGTAATACACGTGGCCTTGCAGGAGAATCGTCTACAGCAGGGGACTTGGCAGAAGGGCACTCGGAGTTTGATTCTTAGAAGTAAAAGCATGAAAGTCCACGAGGGACTGCAAAGCACACACCCATCTGCAGTGGATGTTGCCCCAGGTGCAGAATGTCGTGGTCTCTAACATCTTACATGTGTTCTCTAAACAATACCTCAAGTGTCTTTTTGTCTCTGGCCTATGTGGTTTCCTGCATTTCCGGCAGCTGATCCTATGGACAAAGGCAGCTGCCTGCAAAGCATTACTGAAAATTACGGATTAAGACACATATGCAGAAAAGGATGTTGGCTCTGAAAGAAGCTCATCCTGAGCTCGGAGCAGGATGGAGCCTGCAGCCCTTGTTGGAGAAGCCGAAATAAGTGCCAGGCCTGAGCAGCTTCCCAGCACCCCAGGAATTCCTCCAGTTCCTGAGCCCTGGAGCTCCACAGCAGATCGGGTGATAGGAAACCGAATTGAAATACGGGAGGGAGCCGGAGGGTAAAGGGAAAGGAAGGCTCCCGTTAGTGAGAGCTCTTGCTAACACTCCAGAGCCCAAGCAGGGAATGTCAAGAAGGTTTAGTGTGAATCATCAAAATAATAAATCAAGTGAGCTTTGGCCCTGGAGCCGTAATCTCAGGTGCCAGAGAGATGGCTCACAAATACCTAGGGTGTGGAGCTTAAGATACTGGACAGCCAGGTGGTACTTTAAAAAGCAAACACACAGACAATCCTGAGGCCTATCTACATACAGTCAGTTCATTCAGACTTTCATCCCATTCCCGCCAAGCTAAGGGTCCTCCCCCAACCCCACAAACACCCTCTTGAGACTAGGCAATGCCAGTCTTGAGGATTCTTTCTGTTTCAGGTTTACGTGATATTCATTCAGGTCTCATTTGCCCTTTATAAAAGCATTGATGGGAGTGTGTGTGTGTGTGCATGTGTGGTGGGTGCGTGTGCATAAGTAGGTAGTTGGAAGCACCCATGTAAAGCCCCTACTAAGAATTGACCCCATTGGGAACACTTAGCTTTAAAAACTTTAAAATCCTCTCTTTTTCTCTTTCCCTTTCCAAAAAAGTGATGGAAATGGGAGGCAGATTAAACTGTCTCCTCGCAGGGATGTGGTCATCCACTTGGCTCCTGAGAATGGTGACCTGGCAGAATTCTAGTCCCTGACCCCATAGGCTGGGCGATCCTTCGTGGACTAATGAAGTATATGCTCTGCCCTTCTGTTCCAGAGTTGTGAAGGAGACCAGGAAAAGGAGAGGTCAGAAAGGGCAGCTGGAGCGGCAATCCCATGGCTGTGCCACAGGCTAGGGGAAAGAGTGGACTTCTTAGAGTTTCAGGTCCTCCTCTTCTGTCCCCGGTTAGGGTCTCTCCTTCTCCCATTTGTAGCCTCTCTGTTATTACCCAGCACTCAGCCACAGGTGAGCAGGGTGGAGGGCTAAAGCGAGAGGCTGCGATCCTCTCTGAGACTCTTGGGCTGGGAGTAGCAGCTCAAGAGCACAGGGCTTCCTCAGGGCCCCTGGCCAAGATGGCAGTGATGGGAATCAAGGATCCAACCCACAGCTCAGATATTGAAGAGAACTGACAAAGGTATATTTTCCTTTTAATTTAGCGATTTACAGGAGGCCCTAGACTGCATGCATGTCAGGCACACAGAGGAAGCTTTCTCTGCAGAACATTACTTCTATTTTTTTCTTTTAAAAATTAATCAGATTACTCAGTGGACTTCCACCTAAAGACAACTGGTGATATACACACATTTGCCGCCACTCTCTCCAGAAACTCCACCGAAGTGACAACTAAGGGATTAAACAAACAAACAAAAAACAAAAGGGAAACAGAAGAAGAGAAACAATAACAACCTTTGAGAAGCCGAAAAGCCTTTGGAAGAGTGGAAATGCCTCAGTAGACTCAAGAAAGCAGGACGGGCTAAGAGGTAATCCGCTTTGCACGTGGAATCCCCACAAGGTGTGAGAATTGGCAGCACCAGTTCCCTCTGGAAGTGGGGATACTCATGGGGCTAAAAGCCAGAGGATGGGCTGAGCGTACTTGGAAGCTGTGAGACCCCATATCTCCTCCTCCACTCTGACAGAAGACTGGAGACTTATTCTTTGAAAATGACAAAACAAAGGATCTCCTGGACTAGGACAACAAGAATAGTCAAGGTGGAAAAAGTGCCCCCAAAACAGGGAGAATGAGTGAAAGCTGATACACTGAATGTTGAATTAACCCCACAGGATTTTGCCCTCTGAATTAGAAGAGACTTCTTTGGGGAATCTGGCCAGCTTAAGAGAAAGACCCAGAGACTGACATCAGGGATTCACCTATGAAATGGCCTCACCAGATCACCCCACTGAGAAGCCCAGAGTTGGACAAGCCCTGTGTTTGCATACAGAACTTCCTACCAGCTTTGTAGTACCCTATGCTTACATAGGAACAGAGAGCCAAGATTGCCAACATTTGAAGAAGACCTCTCACAGGAAAGGAAGAGGCCACATCAACAAAGAAACAACAACAATTTGGAAGAAAATAATGCAGGGAGATGAAAGCTTTAAAAACTGACCATCACCTACAAGAAACCAGGAAAAGATCTTATATAAAAAAACAAGAACCTTCAGAGAATTAAAAGTAGGAAGTAAAAATGAAAATATCAATAGAAGGTTTGAAAATGAAGTTGAGAAAAATATCCCTGATGGTAAATCAAAGAGATAGAAAACAGGAGAGAAATACTAAGAGATTTAGAGGACCAACCCAGGACATCCATCATCTGATGAGCAGGAGTTCCAGAAAAAGACAAAGAAACAAATGGGAAGAGACCACCCAATAGCTCGTTAAAGTCAATGAAGCTAAAACCCACCAGGTGTGGCCACAATGGCTGGAAATACATCCACACCCAGCCTCATCCCTGTGAAATTTTAACACTTTAGGACAAAGAGAAGATCCTGAAAAACAGGTACAAAGTATCAGAATCGGAGTAGCATCTGACATCTCAACAGCAACACTAGAAATATGAAGGCCAAGAAGAAATGTGTTCCACTCCTGAGGGAAAATTATTTCCAGCCTAGAATTTTATACCGAGCCCCAACATTAATCAAGTGGAGTGGTGGAATAAAGATATTTTCAGAAATGCAATTCTCAAAATATTTACCACCATTTACCCTTTCTCAGAAAGCTATTGAAGGATGCGTTCCACCAAGACAAGTGAATAAATCAAGATAGAAGAAGACATGAGGGCCAGGAAACA